AACTTCATTAAAGATTTTATATTCAAAAACGAAGCATTTTCGTAGGCTATATGTTGCTCTTGTGTTGTGCAAATTTTTATGTTTGACCGTAACTTCTTTTGTTACATTCCACCAACATTTTGTTTAGTGGGAGGTTTGGGAAGTTCTTACGTATGATGATTATTTTTTTATTATTTCGAAACAACTATCAACCGTCACAGATTAGCCCATTATTAACAATGTTCTAGCAGGCTTTCGCAGACTGAAAAAGGATTGGTGTTTACACATGAGTTGAAGGCTTGTGGCTCTTTGCAGTTTTTGGCTTAGCGCATTACCTTGCAGAGTCGTCACGGCTGTTGGCTTTTTTGTTTAGGTGGGCAAAAGAATTGCTTCCATACAAGCTGATGCATTCCAAAACTCTGAAAAGGGCCAAAGCTCAACAATGCCCAGGCTATGCATGTGCAGTGTCGTGCTCACACGTTATGCAGAAAACTTTTCAAAACCAATTCGATTGGTCGTCTGTGGTTGGTTTCTTTGCATGCTCCTTAACGCTGTAGCTGAGTTGCTCCACCAGACTCTCAAGAGAGAACACTACGGTACTGGGGTAGAGCAAGAGAGCAGAACAGCGAGACCTGAGGTTGTACCGTGTATGCACCGAGCTACACACGACCTAAAAATAGTTGCAAACAGAGATGGCATGCCGATTCTTTTTTTTGTGCCACAAAAATCATCTCAGCTTTCTCATGTATACTAGTATACTACCTAATGGAAGCAACAAAGGTGGTTACAGCAAGAGGCACGCCAAGTCACACACAAAATGTGTCAACCTGGTCGTTTATGAATTGCCACTACCCTACGGCAAAAGATGAATGTTGGCCGGACAAGAATATGTGTGAATGAGCATGCACAGAAACGTGAGCTTTCGTTAAAAGATAAAAATGGGGCACATTTGCTGACTCATTGCGATTCTCATAAGTGTGAGCCATACCTGAATAATGTTCGGATTATTGGCAGAAGCAGGGACACTACTACTCGAGAATGCATGGATGCATTCTGTATAAAATCACGAGGTTCATTAGGTATCAGTGATACTTTGTCTTTCTGGTAGGTAGAGAACAATTTACCAGATTGTGATTAGTTAGTATACTCTAAATGTGACCCTAGCTTACTCCACTCGTGTGCCTATAATTTTAATGCAGGATATGGTGAATCAACTGCCAAAACTTTGAGCTCCCCTAGACCCCTTTTCTCACTTTTCTTTGTGATTAAAAACAGCCATATCTTTGTGGCTCCTACGAGAACATGGACCAATTAGAATAGCAAAGAGTACTTCTAGCCTGACCTTTGTGTCTTGAAAATTCGTAGGGGCAAATTTGACATAGTAGAAGGACACCGTGTCTGGGTGATGCAGGCCAGGGAGACATGAGGCTTTGACAAATGACCGATATGCAATGACAAGGAGAATGAATGCAGTGTTTGTGCGAGCATTCCAAGCTAGAAAAAGGCTAGGAGTGATCAGTGCCTTTTGTTGCATAAGTCATTAAATAACTAAAGCAACCACCAACACCTCTGCCACCATCTGAAATGTAAGAGCACTACCAAAGGCTGTATCTATTGTTCTTCTGCACAGGGTTACGGCATGCAGCTCCATAGAAGTAAAGCGAGGGCAAATAAATATTTCAATGTGGTAGTGTCAGAGTGCATGCTCAAATTCGTTGCGACAAACATATAAAAAAAAATCACTGCTTTTTTATCTAGTCGCTTTAAAAAAAACTTTAAATTGGTTTTAAGACAACATTACAATTTACAGATTTTTGCAGGTGAATGGAAATTATTTGTTAGATTAGAAATTCGCAAAATGGTTTTGCTAGGTAGGGTTTCATCAGTATTTACTAGTAAAAACTGCACATTCAGGAGCAATGAAAACTTTGTTAACGGGGGGTGCTGAAGACGACATTTTCACAAGTGGACTTGTCTTTTACAAGGCTCAACAAAATTTTGAGAAATTTCGTTCAATACAAGAATCATATTACTTTATCATTGTGCCTATCTCAAGAAATGAAGTTATTTATAATATAGAACATTTGAGAAATATAACTTGATGCTATTTATTACTGCGCACACGCACCAACGAAGACCAAAAGCTTGTACCGTGCACTGACTACTAAGCGGGCACAAATGTGCTAATCTGAAAGTGAAGTAAACATCACATCGTTTTGCTTAAAAAATAACATGCAGGAAAACTAGTAATAAGAATTAAAATGACATTGTACTTCGCAAAAAATGAAAAGCCCTTCAATTTTCCGTGTGATACTTAATTTAGCAAGACCAAACACATACATGTGCTTGAACGTATTCTAACACAGGCCAGGACGGCACGGACCCAAGAGAAACGACAAATCGCTCTTGTGCCCGCATAGTTGTGCGCTGTGTTAAATTACGTTCAAGTAACCAACTGGCCCAGCTTCCAGTCATTGTGTGTACATGTGCTTATTTGCGGACGTCTCATTATTACAGACCTAGCTACCCAGTATGATGCACCTTTTCTGCATAATTTTGATAGAGTAGCTTTGTATATGCAGTAAACTGTTTTTCTTGCATGCTCGTCCACTCACGCAACCAGCAGCCAAGAAGCTAGAGACCACAAGAGCGCACAGAAAGGGTTTGAGCATTCGCACGTGCGATCAACCCGGTGTCACACGGGCACTTTTGATTGCAATCAGCTAGGGCGTCTGCGCCGAACTCGATCTGGTGCAGCAGCGACTTACCTGTCGATCTCGATCAAATGTATTCGAGTGACACCAGTATTAGTCACTGCTAACTGCCCAAACTAATTGGATAAAATACGGGTGCAGCCGTCACCTAAATGCGATATAAAAGGGTACGACATAGCAAACAAAAAGAATCCGTGTGACAGTGGTGTTGTCAGTACAGTGCGTAAGACCCTAAATCTCATTCGGAAGTATGTCTGCACAAATATGATCACGCCTAGGCGGGAGTAATTCAACGCTACGGCTCACATGAACCAGCCGTCAATATGCGATCGTGCGTTGCGGTTTGCAGCAGGGCAAACGCTATTCTAAAACTCTTATCACGCCCACCTCGCCCCGCAACGCCCGCAGCGCTTGCAAACGGTATTCTAAAGCTGCGTAATAAATAAAAACTAAAGTTATACGCTCATGGCATTAAAATGTCCGAGAAGCTTTACAGTCATGTCTACCGTGCCACGCATGACCCGCTGACGTCGCCGCCAAGCAGCAAGCTAAGTTTAACCACAGCAAGTCATTGCCACATTCTTGCCTACACATAAATGCAGGACCTCCAGTTTCGGAGCAGACCGCGAGTCGTTAGGCCGGATGCCAAAAGCGCGTAAGCGCGCCCTCTCACCACGCACGTAATCAATCAGCCGTCTATATTCCGTCGAGAACTTGTACTCAATAGAGGTTTTTAGCAAGGTACAGAAACACGTTACGGAAAGGCGGCAATACGGAACCAACTGACAAATGCGCATGCGCGAGCATCGTACGCGCATACGCAACGGTACCGTGTCGCATTTCCGTACGTTTTTTCCGTATAGCTTGCTAAAAACCTCTATTCTCCCGATAAGGGAAGGGCTCCTGAATATTTATTCGTAATACGCTTCTTTTTTAATCGAAACGAGCTGGAAACGCGAGCGCACCTGCGGACCGGCGGTGCCCAGAAACGAGCGATCGACAAGTTGGCTTCTTCGCAGCTGTAAAGAATCGCGAAAGAGCGGCACGGGGAAACTGGGCAACTCAGGTTCCCTATAGGGATTTGATTGATATGTGGGGTTTACCGTCCCAAAGCAACTATATGATTACCAAAGACGCAGTAGTGAAGGGCCCCGGAAATTTCAACCACCTGGGGTTCTTTAACGTGCACCCAAATCTGAGCACACAGGCCTACAACATTTCCACCTCCATCGGAAATGCAGCCGCCGCAGCCGGGTTTCTACCCCACGACCTGCGGGTCAGCAGCCGCGTACTTTAGCCACAATACCACCGCCCCGGGGTGTTCCCTAAAGGGAGCTTATACATAAACAACTTGGTGTGCCTATAGAAACACTCACTCATGCACGCACGCTACCACTCAATAAAAGCACGCCGCAACACAAATTTGTGAGTGGTAGCATGTGTGAATGTATAAGCATTTCTAATGATGCCAAGTTTCGGTAAATTACTTACAATATGACGAGTTACAAACTAGCTGAACAACTATATTTTTAAGAATAAGATACGTTACTTTAATTTTGCTGTACATGCTGCGCCATCTCGCGGCGCGCTCGCAAAGCCTCCCCCCTCCTGCCCCCGCCAAGAAATTTCTGTGCTTGTCTCCCTCTCTCTGCATATGACAAAATCGAAGAGAGTCCGAGAGAGAGCTGCGCCGAAGCAGGAAGGTATACTTTTTTAACAAAATTTATGATGGCAGATAAAGCCCGACGAATGCTGCTTGAAGCCGAAATGAAATTCATTCACGTAAGATCATTCACACTGCCAATGTTTAAACGCTTGCAGTGTTCAAGCTTGGCCTTATTATCTATAGACAGAATAGAAAACTAAGGAGCAATAAAAAACACGGCATGTGTAACGACAGTGGGATGACATACGAAGTACACAGCAGGGAAAATTTTTAATAACAAGATGACAAAAGTACATATGAAAACATCAGCTGATGGAACATGTAGCAAAACAAAATATATCTATTCGTAACGAGAACAATAGGTTTGCAAAGGTAAGTCCCGTTTGTGGGTATGCGCCATGAGCGATAGTCTAGTAACAGCAGGCCTCTAAAGGATAGTTCACGATGTTCCTGGAGACGGGAAGACCTCAATTTGCGTGACCTTGGAACGTTTGACTGCCGTACACGCCATAAGATGTGTCGAGACCGTACAAAACACCACTGAACTTTGCGTCGTCCAGCTTGTCTTGGAAGAACACTTTTCGGATCTTGAATAGGGTATGTCCAGTAAGCAAGCTGTCGCGTCCCGCTTGGTGTTGTGGTCAAACTCTTTTTATCTGGAGCTGCCCAGCCACTTCCTGCAAGCCTCCCCTGAGGTTTCCACAACCCTTCATTAGGTACTTGACATCGTAAATAGATGGAAAGTACAACTTTGGCGTCTCAAAGAAATCTGCCTCAGCTATGGGCAGGCTCCCTCCGGTCAGTGTCTTCATCATGTAACCGAAGTCGTGGGCACTGTGAAAAGTGAGGCACTTGACTTCGTCAGAGAGAACAAGTCCTGAAGTTATAAGTAGCTGGGCAAACTCAAACTCCTCAATGCCTTCCTCTTCATGCCTGCGAAACATTACACCAGCCCTCACCAGGAAGTTGATCGAGTCTTGCGCGAAAACGTCTTTCGACAAGATGAACTTGAAGTTGAATTGCCAGGTGGAAAGGCCTTCCGGCTTGTTGCCGTTCTTGTCAAAAAAACTGAGACCCGCCTGGATAATCTTGAGATAGTCCACGTTGCAACGCAGCGCTTGATATTGATAGTCGATAAGGCTCTTGAACTTTCGTACGTGCTGCACTATGACGCCTGGGAACTCAGTATCCATTGCGATGTAGTTGTACCTTTGGACCAGGCGCCTGATGGTGCAGAACTCTTCCTCGATCGCAGGCCCAAACATCGCGGATTTCGTAGGGATCGTCATCTATGGACAGAGTGCTTTGCCTGTTATTGGAGCTGCTGGAGCTTCTATAGGCCTCAAACTCACTCAGCTCACTCAACGCTTCGCTGAGACTACACACGGTGCACACGCACGAAGGCATTGAATCCTAATCGCCAACGTGGAAGATGCGAATGGTGTTTCTTCCTCTTCAGTTATCCTTCCTGCAGGAGACTTCTTACAAACTTCGAGCTGGTTAACTGGCGCGAAAACAAAATAATATTTCGTTTTTTTTACTTTATTTGCCAAATTTTCCCGATTTTCACTAGTTGTCCTTGCTGACTGTTGTAAAGAAAAAAAAAGTAGTTTGTCATCACTTCATTATGAAAACGTCTGGTAAGTATTAGTGGCGCTATTGGACGGGCGGTTTCGTTTTCGCAGCTCTTTCAAACAATCACCATATTGTAAACCTAAATGAAAGCAGTCGGCGAAGGTGTTTATTTTGCAATTTAATTCTGAGCGCGCAATTCAATGTTTTTTTGTAGCTTTAAGAAAAGAAAATTGGACAAGGGAGCGCGAACGGGCTGCACTATATGAAGAATTACAAACAAAGCTTACGTAGTATCAGTAATCCGCTTCTATATTTTGTGGCGCGAAGCTGTAATTGCATTTTAAATTTATAGTGTATTTTGTATAGTTTCGCGGTTGTCTCTAGTTGATTAAAGTATCCTGTGGAGGCCTGTAGCCAGGACGGTGATGTTTCCACCCCCCATATATGGATGGAGCGAGTGTTTCTTTAAGGGCAATTATTAAAAATGGGTGTTTTCAAAGCCTTCAACAAGTACCCCCGCCCCCCACCCCCCCAACGAAAGAAATCATAGCTACTAGGCTAATTTTGCGTACGTAAACTCTACTCTGCTGGCTAGAACTCTACAGGCAGTAAGACTTTATCTGCAGGGAACTAGGGCCGCATGAGCTGTACCCAATCCCAGTGGTGTAACTCCGGGGTTGCGCACCAGGTCCACGCATCGCTTGCCGCACCTCGAAAAAGATTTCTGTCTACACCATGCGTTGTCCTTTTCTCTTTTGCGGCCAAATCCTCCCATTTGGCCATAAATTTCGGGCTTTTGTTCAAGTATTTGTTGTTATGACAATATACAATATGTACTCTATTGCATGGCGAGGAATTTTTAATTACGCGCGAGAGGAAAAAATGAATTTCGGTATTCAATTGTAGCGCGTGAGGGTCGACATTAGGTACCAATACGTTCGACAGAAACTCGCGTTACATTTGAATAAGTGCAGTAAATAACGAGAACACTGGCAGCGAAAATGTTGTGTTGGCGTCATCGTCGTCGTGATGGTTCATAAACATCCAAGTGCTTTGGCATCCTGCTGCGGGCGCCTGAGTCTCGTTTTAGAATAAACGAATGCATATGAAAAAAAAAAAAAACGTCCTCTTCGTTCGCGCAAGTGTGGAGATATGCCGAGCGCGCCTTCGTAGCAGAGTGGGATAAGGCAAGCTACAGTGCTCGATGTGCTTGCTCGTTCAGGTTGGAGACAAGCGCATCATCTGCTACAGCGGTCGCCCTTACTGATTCTAATCTTCAATGCGCGCACTGCCAGCGCGCAGATTTGCAGCCTCTTAATCATGAGTAAAGACACTTTGTACTGGACTTGCCTTCGCAAACGCTGTATCATTCGCAGATGTTGCTAGTTATAGGTTTGTAGGCCCATATTAACACAAGTAACCAAATGTGTCTCGATCGCCTAAAGGTGTTACAGAGAGAATAGCCCTCACTGCCTGGGCAGCCGCTGGACTGCTGGCTGCGGTTGAGTGGTTCACAGCATGTTTAAGTCGCCGAGTGTTAAAAACACCACCATTCAGTTTCATTTCTAGCCAGTGTTATACCTATGTGTTTATTTATTATTTTTTGACACAGCATACAAACAAAATTTCCCACCATCAGCAGTGATGTGTTTGCTGACGTGAGAACTCTGTGGTTCGCTGTTTATAGCTAAATCTCAAAACCGTTGTGATTCGCACGCAGGTTCCGAGGCTCCTGTTTTATGTGACTGACATATTGATCTTCGTGTGCTCTTATTGAATGTCTATTTAAACTATGGCGGCATTTCACATTTCGAGAAAGTACTGTCAAAAATACGGCAAGCATCAAAATGTCGTTCAGCAACCGCAGCGGAAACGACTAATACACATGTAATGCTTCAATTTTTAAAAGCGAATCTCCATAAGCTCCCACGATGTCCACTGTCGCCGCCGTCGTCGTAGCTAGCTCACCGTCGGACCGAAAACATCTGTGGCATATACCGCATTTGCAGCATTCATAGCACGCGTATGCTTTATATGCTTTGAAAACAAGGCCGTACTCTGTCCGTCCGACCATATCAGTCTGTCTGTCCGTCGACCCTTGTACTCAACTGTGCATCTTCCCGTCCGTCCATCCATATGTATCTCTTCATCCATCCATCCGGGTGTCCGTCCATGAATCTATACGTACGTCCGCCTTATCATTTCGGCGAGTTCAACGGTGCCATTTAGGACCCAGTTTCGCTCTGTGGGAACAGGCAGACAGACGTTGTCGATGTTATGCCCCACGTTATATATTTTGTCGGAAGCTATTTTGACATACGCAATCCAGAACAGGCGCAACCATTTCGTGCATGCTCGGTGCGTCGTCGTCTTCTTAGCGCTGGATTCTTCTGGCTTGTACTGGCGCGCTGCAGGGCCCCCCTTCGAGCGAGGAATTTGTGACGTGTTAATGTGGCCAGAAGCACACTACTGAGACGCGAAATGCACGCGGCGAGTATGGCAGTCGGAAGTGAATTTATTATGAGACGTTGTCGAAGCGTCGGTATACCCAAGTACTCAGATTTAATTTGAAACGGTCGACGGAAACCATATCTTCACGGACGTTGATGAGCAGCTTGACTTTCAGCGTCAACGCACACGGCATCCGGACACTACCGACGACGACGACGCAGCAAGCGCGAGATGGTATCACGTCTTCTGGCACGCGTCTGGGTTTCTGACAAACTATACAATTCATGGGAACAGGCAGACAAACGTCGTTGCTGTGAAACTTCAAGCCTGTATATTTTTGTCGTACGCCATTTTGGCAGACGCGAACTAGAACAGGTGAAACCATCTCGTTTTTGGTGCGTCATCGTCGCCTTATCTTCACTGGATTCTTCTTGTACGTACTGGCGCGGAATATACAGCTCTATCATCAGCATGACGATAGTTATAGCGCGAGTACAAAACCACGACACAGAGACAAGAAGGACACGAGAGACTCTCGTCTCTGTGTCGTCGTTTTGTACTCGCGCTATCACTATCGTCATGCCATAACAACTAGCCCAAGCTGGCACACTTCTATCATCAGCATTCACTTTGTGGATCAGCTGCCAATTTTTGCAGCGTTGCGAATTCCGCACTGAAATTGATGACCATGCATGATACACACGAAAAAAAAAAAGCATTCGGTCGTAATAAGTAATTCTGAGAAATTCAGAATAGTAATAATAGTAATTCCGAGAAAATAGTAATTCTGAAAAATTATTTCACTCTATAAAAATAACAAAAGTTTCTAGTTGTCCTTCTTTTCCCGCAAGAAAACACAAGTCGGACTTTATAATTGCAGTTCATTACAGACGCAACTATAATAATCTTCACACCTTCATCCATCAAAAGAAAAAAAGAAATGCCTGCAACAGTGAAAGTACGATTTCCAAGCACACCCTTAAACCACAATCAAGCTATGATAATGGTTGAAACGCGATAAAACTATTTGGACTTACAAATGAGCAATCAGGTTAATATTCAACTAGTGCGCGCTATAGAGGCAGAACACGCAGTCAGAACCACCCACATGCCCCGCCGCGATGGTCTAGTGGCTAAGGTACTCGGCTGCTGACCCGCAGGTTGCGGGATTGAATTCCGGCTGCGGCGGCTGCATTTCAGATGGAGGCGGAAATGTTGCAGGCCCGTGTGCTCAGATTTGGGTGCACGTTAAAAAACCCCAGGTGGTCGAAATTTCCGGAGCCCTCCACTACGGCGTCTCTCATAATCACATGGTGGTTTTGGGGCGTTAAATCCCACATATCAATCAAATCAGAACCCCCCACATAACTTCTAATAGTCTGATCCATTTCTGCATTGCTAGTTATATACACGCCGTTTTAAGAACCATGCCAAAAGAATACCCAACGTGGCAAAGAAAAGGTGATAGGAAACAACAAAGCTTGCTATACTCCCGCTGCATACACGAGATGCATTCATATGCCATATTCGATTTTATTGATATGTGGGGTTTTAGCGTCCCTGAACCACCATTATTATGAGAGACGTTGTAGTGAAGGGCTCCGGAAATTTAGACCACATGGGGCTCTTTAACCTGCGTATGTCACCTCACACGCTTTATTCGCAGTGTCCATATGAGACTTTTTTTAGTATCCCTTGGGGGAAAAACATCATCCATAGTCCTAGAATAGTTCGTGCGCCCCGCCGTGGTAGTGGCTAAGGCACTCGGCTGCTGACCCCCAGGTCACGGGATTGAATCTCGGCTGCGGCGGCTGCATTTTCGAAAAATGCGAAAATGCTGTAGGCTCGTGTGCTCAGATTTGGGTGCACGTTAAAGAACCCCGAGGGGTCGAAATTTCTGGAACCACCAACGGTGCCCCTCATAATCATATATCGTGGTTTTGGGACGTTAAACCCCACATATATCTATCTAGTATGGTACGTGCACTGTGGCACACAACATCCAGTCATCTTGCGGAACTCGCCACGAATCAGACGGGCCTGGAGGCGACAGGCGCCACCTGCACGTTTACATAAAGCGGGGCGTCGGCTAAAACATGGCGGACACGCGAGGCAAAGCGGCGTCAGAGTGTAATAGTATACTGTAGCGGCGTCAACCCTATAAAAG